GAAAAACATTTCTGTTGTTTAAGCTACCCAGTCTGTGGTATTCTGCTGTGGCAGCCCAAAAAGCCTAAGATGAAAAAAAAAAAGAGAGAGAGAGAGACTAAGATGGACAGAGATGAAAAATCCAGTAATCTTACTGAGATACTGTTCTTGAAATTACTTATAAAGAAAGCATGTAATTTTTATAACTCTACTCAAATGGCAGTATCATGCTCAGTTTCAGCAGCAAATACCCAAACAAGGGTCCAAAGAGACATTCAACTCGGAAGAAATAAACCCAGAAATAAGCAAATTGAATGATAAACTACTTCAATGAACACAGCATCTACAAAGAAACTACAGGCTACCTGGAATCCCTTCCCTGAGACCAGGAAACTTCCTACTATTAGAGCCAACCACTAACATGAACAATTGCTGAACCCACTTAGCTAAACTGGATTTATGACTCTACAGTCAGAAGCAGTTACTCAGCCATATAATCACATACCAACATTTCACTGCCATCAAAAATTTTGCTGAAAGATGTAAGTAATAATTAAGATGCATCTTACCTTATATAGCAGCTAAATTCCTAGAAAACTACACAAAACTTGAATTTGTATTAATGAAATTGTTTAAATTCTCTAGAAAAGCTGACCAAAAGAATTCATTACCCAGTATATTTTGTAGCATCTAAATTACATACATAATCAGACTTGCTTAAGGTGAAATGAACCTCTAATATTCCTACATTTAACTTTCCACCAAGTCAAAGGACATTATTTGCAAGTACTCTCTTTAATAGCTAAGTACATTTCTCAAGCTATACATCAACTTCCAGTTGAACTTGTCATTGCCCTTCTACTCCAGAGTTCAGGTTTCTTTACTTCTCCACTATTTCTAGAACTGCACTGATTCCTCTTCCAGTCACATAAAGCTTCTGTGTATACTGTATCCTGCCCTTGACACACTGACCCTTCCTCACTCTCCTGAGCCTAACAATTATAATACAAGCACCATGGACTCTCCAGAGTCCCCTAAGCTCCACTTTGGGAAGTAATGATTTACTCCAAAAGCTTAGTGGGTACAACTCAAAAGGGTTCAGTTTTGGAATCTGACATTTAGTGCTGCAGTTCCATTAAGTAGCCTTGAGAAATTAACTCCACCAAATGACATTACTCTGTAAAAAGGGATTAATCCTTTGACTCAAAGGGGTTGGAGAATTTTGGAATGGTACCCTCACACCAGAATTTCATAATTTTTGTAATCCCTTAACTATTTGTAAAAGGTAATTTCAACTTCAATTTAACAGGCATTCAGCACTTACCATGTACCCAAAACTATTAGGTATCATGAAGGATAAACATAAATGATATATAGTTCCTGTCCATAGAAGCCTACAATCTCAAAAGAGAAACAAGAATAATAAAACAATTAGGGGACAATATAAGATGATGCATAATTAAGCATCAATACACCAGGAGACAAAAGTAGGGTGTGACTGATATGAGCTAAGCTACCACAGAAGGCTTCAGGAAAGAAGCTATGACCTCAGAAAAACTCTATTTGTGCTAATGTATTTAAAAAAAAAAAAAAAGTCTGCTTTAACACAAACCCACATACCAAAGAGACTGGCTACACTGTTTTTTAGAGTGTATATTTACGCAGCACCAATAAGCATTTTTAAACCACTGAGATCATCTCCTAAGACTGCTAGCTAGCTCTGCTCCAGCAACACTGGTCTCCTGTTCTCAAACACACCAAGCACACTTCTTTCTCAATGCCTCTGCACCCCCAGTTTGAACATTGTTCCTACAAATACCTGAATGGCCCATTCCCTGGCTTCATTCTAAGACCATGAGAAAGGCCTTCCCTCACCATCTTCACCATTCTCTAGCTTTTTCTGTGCTTTAATTTTTTTTTTTTTTTTGCCCTACCACCACCTAAGAATAGGTCTTAATTTCTTTATTAAATGTCCCTTCCCATTAAAATATTAGTTTCATGAGCGCGGGGGTGGGGGGGGGTGTTCTTTGGTTCACTAATATATCCCCTTGGGTTAAAATAGTGCCTGGCAGGGTACAGTGCTTCATGCCTGTAATCCTGCCACTCTGGGAGGCCTAGGCAGGTGGACTGCCTAAGCTCAGGAGTTCCAGACCAGCCTGAGCAAGAGCCAAACCCCGTCTCTAAAAAATAGTCGGGTGTTATGGTGAGCCCCTGTAGTTCCAGCTACTTAGGAGGCTGAGGCAAGAGGATCTCATGAGTCTAGCCCAAGAGTTGAAGGTTGCTTGCTATCAGCTGTGATGCTGTGGCACCCTACCAAGGGTGACTCTGTCTCAAAAAAATAAATAAATAAACAAAAAACCAGTGTCTGGTTTGTAGCAGCTGCTCAACAAACATTAGTTCAATGAGTGAATATTAAATATATCAACAAGCTCACTTTTTTTTT